CCTCACAACTCACAACTCACACCACACTCTCACCTCACACCGCACTCTCACCTCACACACATATTTCTCACCACACCAACACACCAATCCTTCACAACGATCATTCTACACCACACCCCCACCCCCACCACACCATACCATCACCACACTACACCCCCACCACCTGACTCCACCCTCCCATCATCAGGTCAGGTCAGGTCAACTAAGAGCAGCATCATCTCCACCCCACTCTGGTGTACACGGTGGAGCAGCGAAGTATAAAGGAGAGAGCTATGTTAGGGGCTTTGTTTTCCTACCAGGGCCTCACCTCAGCCTACCTACTCACCCCTCTCTATCTACCTGTCTACCTACCTACCATTCCCTCAATACCCCCTCCCCACCTACACCCCCTCACCTTTATCCCCCCCTCCCCACCTACACCCCTTCTATCCTCCCTTCCTTACCACAACACACCTGTAATATGAATCTTCAACAGTGGGCAGGTAAAGCGGGACCAGCGGTGTGTGTGTGTGTGTCCTCAGTCCTGGATGCCAATGGTGTTTTAATTGGTCTTTGTACTGTTATCCATGTGCTTTTACCTATACTGTTATTACGAGACTAATTACCATGAAATGAAAGTGAGTGAGTGAACGTGGTGTGAGGGGCAGGGGGGTCGGCGGGGCGGGGCAGGGTAGGGCAGGGTAGGGCAGGGCGGGGGGAGTGATTCTTGTTACTAATGGTCTCACCCGGGACGAGATTCTACAAGATAACACGAGAGGTTCAACGAGATAACACGAGACATTACCATAACCTTCATCCCAGGTCGTGTCGTGGTGATGGTGTTAACATGGTCACTATAGAGATTATGATGACTCATTGTTTATTTATTTTTGAGATAGAATCAGTCTTATTGTAGTAGTAGTAGTAGTAGCAGTAGTAGTAGTAGTAGTAGTAGTAGTCTTGCTCTGCCTCAGGGGAACGAGAGCTTCTGCCCCAATTCCGACAACTGCTGCATATATTGACTATGAGGCTACAGTCACTGAATGCCGCATAGATCTGCGGCTCAACTAATTGAACACAGATAGGATAGCTACTTATGTATTAGGATATTTAATATTAAGGTAATTAAATGGTGGCGAAGGTGTGGCTATTGGGGGAGGCTGGAGGCCACGTTATATAAAAAAAGTAGCAGTAGTAGTAGTAGTAGTAGCAGTAGTCTTATTGTAGTAGTAGTAGCTTGTAGACGTACTGAACTGTCTGAAGGTAAGTTTAAGGCATCACTTTGGTGTTTATTAAGGTCGAGAGATACAGTATAATGACGGGTTAATGGTCCTTAATACTGTATTGGTAGGTGGAAATAAGACCTCGACCTGAGAGAGTCAGACAGACAGACATACAGGTAGTTGGGTTGTTAAAGAAGGTTATTAGATACAGACACAGGTAGTTGGGTTGTTAATGAGTGTTATTGTTATAAGACATACATACATACATACATACATACATACATACATACATACATACAGATTATATGGTTAAGATTTTAACTTGTTCCCCTAGACTGGTGATTCACTCTCTTACATCGTTAGGTATGTGGCGCGGGGGGGAGGGGGTGCACATGCGTCTTTAAACGATCATAATTTACTAGGTGAACACTTCCTCCCTCCGCTGTGTACACAAGAACATGTGCATATTCCTGTCTTCCTGTTTACACTTAACTAGATTTAGCAGGTTTAATTTATTAGTGTAGGGGAGAAAATCCTGCTTAGACAAACAGACGGTAGGCAGACGGCGGCGGCGGCGTGGCTGTACATGACCCCACCCTGGGTAGCGGAGGGTACTGGTGAGGTGCACACACACAGGTGAGCTGCCACCGCCGACACCACTTCCACCATCACCACTGTCACCACCATTAACCTCACCTTAATATTCAAACACAGGAGATAGATAGTCTAGAATCCTGTGTGTGTGTGTGTGTGTGTGTGCGTGTGCGCGTGCGTGTGTGTGTCCTACAGTATACAGTAAGTCTTTAGGATTTACTATATACCAAAAGTTAGAAATAGTAAAAAAAAATAAAATAAATAAATATTTATATCCGGGTGTAAATAAGGCGAGAGGAGCGGGCGGGCGTCACCCGTGTGTTCGTTCACTGTCTCGAAACAACATTTTTAGATCTCCTGAAGACTAGGAACCCCCAGTTTAATTCACCTGATTATTAACCACCTCGACGCTACATGAGGGCGGGGTAGGGTGGGGGGGTTAATCGTCAGGTGAAATAAGCTAAGAGGTGTGTGGGGCGGGGGAAATCTTCACGTCCGAACACCACCACCTGTTGACAGACTTGCTGGCATCACGAGTTGCTCTACCTTACCTGTCCCACCATACGAGTTGCTCTACCTTACCTGTCGCACCATACGAGTTGCTCTACCTTACCTGTCTCACCATACGAGTTGCTCTACCTTACCTGTCTCACCATACGAGTTGCTCTACCTTACCTGTCTCACCATACGAGTTGCTCTACCTTACCTGTCTCACTTTCCTGGACAACATCTCTCGACTGTCTTAAATTATCTCCTAATATTAAAAAAAAAATTTAAAATATGTGTATGGGAAGTCCTACCTATTTGTCCTTCACTCATACAAGAAGAAGTCCCAAATCGCAAGTCCTTCACTCCTTCAAGTCCTGGCGTCTCTACTTGAGGGGTGGGTGGGGTGGGGTCTCTTGGGGGTGATTCAGACACAGTGGATGCTCTTATAGGAGGCGTCAGAAGGTGTAAAGCCTGGCGGGTTATGTTTTATCAGGTTAAGTAACGTTTTGACCTGTAGCTTATAACGCCGCTGGCCCAAACGTGTAAGGTTAAACCCACCTCAGCCTAATCTTCGTGATGAGGTTTCTAGGTTAATGTTTTCGAAATCCGTGGTGTTTTTTTTTGTTTGTGTTTTTTTCAGGAACAAAGAAAATTTGTTCATGAAAAATATGTTGTGACGTGTCAATATTGTCTCCTGGGGTGTGTTGATGTAGGGGAGGTGACGTGTCGCTGTTCACGGGGCACTGACTGGGATGTTGAGTAGACGTTTGAACGGGAGAGGTGTGAGGGCGGAGTGAGAGGGTTGATGAGGGGAGAGATAGTGGTAATTAACCCGAGTGGGCTATTCAGTACTATACCACGCGCGCCTCCGCCATACTATGTCTGCACCATACCATGCCTGCACTACCACACTACACCATACCATGCCTGCACCTCACCATACCACGAGAGGCTTTTGAGCACCTCTGATGGGCACCCTGGCATGTGTAGGTGTTTAGGGCATGTATGGTCTGACGCGTAGAATACAGAAGGTGGTCTGAAATAGGTAGGCTCAGACCAGGGAGTGACAGTGTAGGTGTTGGGTCTATGACGAGAGACCTTGAGTGCATGAGGATTAAGAGTGTGTAGGTGTTGGTAGTGTAGGTAGGGAGAGTTACGACGTTGCTGTACATGTCAAGTGTACTGCTGTGGCATGTAAGTGTAGCGCGGGTGGGACCAGGGTATGAAGGTGTAGGAGGATGTAAATAGAGAGCTTGTCGGTGTAGGATGTGTAGCAGAGGTGTGAGCATGACTAGGAGCTGGTACTTTCACCGTGGTGACCTGTGGAGCCCGGCGAGGGGGGGGGGGGTAGAGAGAATCATCACCCCCCATCTTCCATCCTCCACCACCACCCTGGGGCAGGAGAAGGCGAGAACCCGGCCTGCCTCTCTGGACACCCCTCATACAAACTGTTACATCACTGCCTAATAATTATGGCACGACTCAAGCTACACAGTAAATGTGGTGGTTGTGGTGGCGTCTGGGTCGTGATGTGTTGCAAGGAGAGTAACCTGGAGCTGTGCCTATATGAACATCGTGACCCCGTCCCTTATTGCCTACTGTTGCAACACATCCTTATGGTTATCCCAAAACACAAGCTGCATTGTATATGTAGTGTGGGTGTGTTGGGTGTAGTGTGGGTGTGTAGGGTGTTAGCGTGGGTGGTGGTGACACATGGCAACTCGTAGTGCACGCGGCTCACAGTCCTGTTATGTTTATTGTGGCGTGTGAAGTGTCGGGGCGCTGGTGTGGCCCACGGCTACGACTCAGAGATCCGTACGTTAACATTTTCCCCTGTAACTGGGAATGAGAGAACGCATCTCTGGTAACGGTAGAGTCTCTCTTCATTTTGGACACCATTTCGGCCATCTCTTGTTATTATGCCTTAATTAAGTGAGAGTTAGATGCGCTCTTGCGTGAACATTAAAGAGAGAAAATTAAACGTACGGGCCATCTCCAGGTCCGCCGCCCACCACCACCACCACACTTGCTTTTATATCTAATAACAATTCAAGAACTGTAACTCAGCCCCGTGTAACTCAGCCCCGTGTAACTCAGCAGCGGGTTTAGGTGAGGTGGTAGAGCGGCTGGTGGTGGGTAAGGGGTGTTTAGGAGGACCTGGAGGGTTGGGTTCGGTGATGGTGGTCTGTGAACGAAATACCGGGGGAGATTATGACCGGGAGAGAGCTGCACCGGGAGGTGGAGGTTACAAGGGGATGAGTGTGGAGGGTGAGGAGGGAGGACTGAGGCCGTGACGGGCAGTAGCGGCCACTGGGAGCCGTAAATAAGCACAACATTGAGCCAGTTGGTCCTGGAGCAGCCGAGCCTAGCACGCACACCCGAGCCACGCCACCACCTCCCTCCTGCTCCCCGGAGATACCTTTATATAGTAAACACTGCTATCTTTACCCACAAACTGTTTACAACATCCAGGCAGTATTCTGATGCATAGTTTAATACAATTGTGTGGTAAAAAACTTTATGGTGCGTTGCACAGGGATACAGACACAAGGGTGGTACATTTGCTTTAGGTTAGGATAGAGTTGGAGGGAGACAGTAGTGTGTGAGGGTCGCTGGGGCGGGGGAGATGGGGCGAGGGAGAAGTTGGGGGTGTGGGGGGGTAGGGGCGGGGCGACGCTGGGTGGCGGTGGTGAAGCCAGTGACCAAGACCATTGAGTTTAGTAGTGAACTTGGCGGCCGTGTGCACTGGTGTCTACGTCTGGCGGACCGCCCTCTTCCTCGATTTTGCTCCTGCATTTGGTTAATGTTCTTTTAGTCATGCTGTTGCTGTTACCAGGCACAGGAGACGTGACGTGATAATATCCAGTGATAGTGGTGGTGTTGTGTATACTGAGAATTGTGTGAAAACCCAGAAAACTTGTGTGGATATATCGTGAAACACTCGATTGTTCTCGTGAAGGCGCCCAGTGTTAGTGATACTCAAATAGAAATACTAAAATTGCGTTTGTGATATATTTCTTGAAAGTACCAGAAGGAATAAGATGTGAAGTGTTGTTGTGGTGTATAGACGAATGTGTTAGATTAGGAGACAATACAGTGTTCTGACAAGAGCAGACACACCAACTACCAGAGACGGCTGTCGTGTACTGCAGGTAAGACTTTATCCCCCTCAAAAATTATGAACAGTTGTGTGGTGCTTGTATGTGTCTACTGTATAGTTGAAAGATAAGAGTAAAGCAGTAAGCAGGCTGTTGAAGGCTTAGGGTAGGTTAAACTCGGCTCTTGTGGGGAAGGGTTAACACAGCAGCAGCGGCAGACCAGTTTGGTGGCGTGGGAAGCTTTGGTCCATTGTTGTGTCTGCTGTATTGTGGTAGCGAGGAAAATGTGATCAGTGAGGTGGTGGTGTACAAAATGTTTATGCATTGTTTTGTGCGTGTAATGGAGGCCTTGATGGTGCACTCGACCGCAGTGGTGGTGGGGGGAATATGTGGATACTTGCGTTGTTGGAGGTCGGGCGGGGTAGTTGGTGTTGGAGGAGTCGGTGGGCTGTGTTGGGGCAGGAGAGGGTGATGAGGGGGGCAGTTAGATAGTCAGCCAGGGTATGGTGGTGAAAGACTATGTACATGTTGATGTTAGTGACGAGGGAACGAGTATTAAGCACCATAAGGTGTGCTCAAGGCAGTGGGCAGAGCAGGAATGTGGCGAGCCAGTAAGACGAGCCTCACCAAACCTGACCTAACGGGATAAGAGGGATTAGAGAAGATTGATATTTCGTCTGTTTCATTATTTTGGTAGTGGGAATTTGGTCGGCGGGGAAAGATTTTCGTACAAGGATTTCGTGTATTGGAAAATTGTGTGGATGGAACTAGTGGGCGCATCGTGTGTTGAGGGAGGCAGCGGCGTGATGCACGCCGTTCCCCTGCCAGCGGTCGCCCTGGGGTAATTGTCTGGGAAAACGGGGGAGCCAACAGTGCTCTCGTGTTTCCATTTCATCCGTAATGCCACTTGAGAGGCCATGTAAGGACGCTTATGATTTGTCGAGGGAGAGGGAGGAAGAGCAGAGTCAGCTGCTACTGCAAACACAGCCGGAACTTCACTCACTCCGCCCACCTCCGTTTTTATCTGGTGTGAAATACTGAACGTCGGTGAATCATTTTCTTCTTTAGGTCGTTTCTGCAAGACGCATTTTGTGTAATACCAGAGATTACCAGACATTGTTTCCAGTGCTCGTCTCCGCCCCGCCTGCCCCTCATCATGGGCTAGAGCTAGACTGTCTTTATTGCCTCAGGTCTACTAGGTTGTTGAGTCCGCCGGTGTCTGGTGTGTCACTACAGACGGGTTCATGAGGTACACACATTATTGGAACGTGTCACTCGGCTATCCTCTTCAGTAGTGACAGTGATGTGTCCATAGTTCATGTAAATTATGGCAACAGGTTGAAAAGTCTCGCGCCGAAGCGGTATCATAACGTGACTGACTATAAATGAGTTGTAGACAGCACACTCGAGTCGGGTCTAGACGAGAGATTCTTATTATCAGTTTTGGCAAGAAGAAAAATGTTGTGGATTATGTAAATTAGACAAATGAACACGTGTAGCTCTAGTAGGTAGTTGGCTTGTCATTGGAAGTACATTGGGCTGGACGAATTATTCCCTGAAAATAAAAATAATGTACATAGTTTGACACTGTAATGTGTTTTCTATTTACAGTTTTATGAAGACAGACACCCACGACAAGCCCGAGTTCCTTGTTGTCCATAAACTATGAGAAACAGTTTCCCGTATAGCCACTACACCAATATTTTCCTCGGGTGTCTTCTTAGGTTGTCCGTGTGCTTTATTCTAACCTAATCCCACAATGATGCTCAGTTGGTAGAGGTTGGTGTGGTTGTGTCTGGTGCTGTGTTGCGGCTCGTGTTTGATCCTGTCGACTGTTTCTCCTCGTATGTTTTGGTGGGTTGTGCTGCTCTCCCGGGAATCAGCGAGGCGTCCTACTGGATTGCTCCGGGATGCTGCTGCCATTCCACCCCAGTTCCACTGAGGAATGGGAATGGCAGGAATTTTTCGCCTCTTGCCGGAGGGTGAGTTGTGGCGCGGGCTGCAGATAATGGAAAAGGCCTCAAAGTTTCTACACTTCTGAATATATTTACCTCCGCGAGATTTATAACCCAAGTTTTTACTGTTTTACATAATCTGTCGTTGATGTATTGCAAAAGAGTCAGGGGTTAGGTCTATGGCCCGGGGGGTAACGTGGTATTTAGCCGTGTGGTGGCCGGACACCGGGTTGATTATTAGCACAATTTATAGTTAGTCGTGAAGGTTGTCTCTAGCGTTGCCTTGTTCTTGTGTGTTATAAACCACTTGCCAATATTGTTGTTATTGTTCTCTTTCTTATTTCTGGCTAAATAAACCGTTTCTATACCAAGTGGCAGAGTTAGGTGGAGTGGTGGTTGTACTGAGCGGCCAGTCTAATGGTTTCTTCACCGAGGCTAGTCAAAATAACCAGATTATTTTACGCGTGAACTAAACGGGAGACGAAGGACCGAGCAGTCTTATACCTCAGCCTGTCTCGGTTACCAAGTGGTGGTGGTGGTGAAGGCGGGCTGGTAGTGTCGGCGGCAGTTTTCCCCCCACGAACAATGGCGATAGGGATCGTAGCCCAAATAATGGTGGTAAAAGTGGAGACTCTTAATGATGGTTGAACCCGTAGTTGCCCCACACACCTGGCATTACCTGTGTGGGGTGAGGGTGCAAATCTTGGTCTCTTTATTATCAGGTGGTGACTAGATCTAGGTAGTGTCACCCCATTAATGGAACGCGTAGGTCTCTCCCTTTACTCTCCATTACAACACCCCCCCCCCATTAATAAAAAAAGATGGCCCCTCATTCCCCATCACTGGTAATAATGGGTAAAACCTTTTCTTGCAACATTCCTGGTGGTGGAGGAGGAGGGGGGGATGACCCTGGGGGCGTTGTGGTGGTCACCTTGTCTCCCCTGCACGACCTGACCTCTCAACCCCTCCCCCCACCCCCCCTCTCCTCCCACCCCGTCATTGCACGAAAAAAAGTGCCGCGTGAGGAAAGTTTCTCAGCTTGACGGTCGATCTTTGTTTTGGCTCCGTTATCCACCTGGGAATTAAAACTTGTAACTGAACGGTTATTGTTCCAACACTGAGTCTGAGCTGACGTGTGATGACTGTGTGTGTGTGTAAGTTCTTTGTTCTCTCTCTCTCTCTCTCTCTCTCTCACGGGGGGTGTCGTGAACGTGACCCCCAATCTCCTTCCCCCCACCTCACCCACAAGAGCTCAGGCACATTACAATTTTCCATGTTTGGTGTTATTAGGGAGTAAAAAGTGTGGTGGTGGTGGTTGATGTTGTGGTGGTGGTGGTGGTAGTAGTAGTTGGTCCCGGGCCACAACACACCTCTGGGCATGACACAACCCTGAGATAAATATCGTTTGGGAAGGACCTTTGCTCTCTCTTATTTTAATGTATCTATTTTTGTTTTAAGTGTGTGTGTGTATGGGGGTTTGGCTTTAGTGTGTGTGTTTGGGGGGGCGGTAAAGTGATGGGTAAAAGTGTGTTTGGGATTGTTTATGGTGATGGGTGAATTGAATTTTACCCCCCCCCCATCCATACAGCAGCTAGTTTATTGTGCACCCCATAATCTGTGAGCGACAGTGCAAAAGGATTACACAGTTCACAGAGGGTGTGTCTACCTGCCCCTAGTGGTCAGGATAATGTGAATTTTTCCAGTATGCTATTTAGTTCAATACATAGGAGTGGGTTTGTTCACAGCGGCATGAGGGACATAGTCTCAGTGTCCAGTGTGTCTGTGGTAGAGGGGGGTTGGGACTTCGGGGTGACGGGTGAGGGTGTGTGGGCGTTGCGGTGGGTGTCGCTTCACTCTTAAACGATCTTGTGGTCGGGGCGGGGGCCGTTCCTCTTCCCTCCTGCTGGGTAAAATGTTCTGGAACACGTCTCCCCCCCCCCCTCTCCCCCATCTCATAACAGGAACACCTCCTTCCCTTTGCTCTTCCCCATTTCCCCTAGAAAAGTCCCTTGCTTTCCTCCCCATCACCCACTTTAATTGAGCTCCCCATCATCCACTTTAATTGAGCTCCCCATCACCCACGACAAACACCATACCTTCCCTATCACTCACAGGAAGCTTCTCCCCATCACCCCCACCCAGAAGTATCTCATTCCCTTCAGGAGGCACCCACACCTCTTCATTGGAGTACTCGGCCCCGCCCACACCCTCATAAAGAGCCCTTAAACCTTCTCACCACCGTACGAGACTCACAGCCCACTCTTTCAAGGCCGCAACAACTTCAAGGTAACCTAAACAAGGCCCCCCACCCTCCCTAGGATCTACCAGGGGACCCTAGTATGTGTGTGTGTGTAGGGGAGTGTGTTATAAGTTGGTGCTTTGTTTTTATACCACGCCAAGATTATGATCCGAATTTTATAACCGGTAAATACTTCTAATGGCAGTAGAGACGATGATGATGATATTAATGCCGATAACCTTCAACTGTTACCTCCATATATGGCTTACCTAGAGGTCCAGCATCATGGCTTCACGCACATCTGTTGGTCGAGATTCTTTACGATGGCCGCCAAGACCTTCCTCACCACCAAAGGAAGCCATAATCCTCCTCTTACATGTCCCCATCAATCCCCCCCCCCTCCCCGAACAGTTTACCGACCAGTTGTCCTCAAAGGTCATACGTGTTGTCTCTATAGTTCTTCCACGTCTCTTGATAATTTCGTCATATATACCATACTTCACTCTAAAGTCGTTTACAGTGTGTGACCTCCAAAAATTTCTTCTCTCCTCCCCCTCCCCCCCACAAATGAGGCCCCCTCTCCCCCACCTATCTCTCCCCCATTACTCGTGGCCTGGGGGCAGGTCAGGACGGGCGGGGACACACACATGGCCCACCACCACTAGCGGGTTCTTTGGTCCAAGTTGTCAGGAGTTACTACGTTAAATTTCTTCCCTGAATTGATTTTCGAACGCAGCTGACACTCCATTAACCCGTGTGTGAGAAAACGAACACAAAATTGTACCGAGACTCGACCATAACTAAGATAGAGAGGGATTTTGTTTACGTTGGAAGATTTGAGGTTGGTGGAGGGAGTGAAG